GTTGCCTTTGTTCACAGTGTGTTCTTTTTTTTTTTGGTACCCGGAATCAGTCTCAAGGCCTCCCGCTTGCCAGGCAGATGCTGTGCCGCTGAGCAACATCCCCAACTCAGTGTATTCTTAACAAGAATTTTGTGCTGAGCCACTAATAGCTTCATCAGTAAGTCCTCTGTTATGTTGACCTCTCAAAGGAGTCACAGTTATTCACACAAAAACCACATAAAGATGAAGTAATACTTTGATTATCACAGAAACAATAATCTGCTCTTCCCTTTGGCAAATCTTCATGCCATCATTGGTATAGATTTGCATATTGCATATTTGGTCCAGTCTTTTGGAGAAATTTTTGTGACTGTAAAAGCTTAGTAGCATCATATTATTAGCTTACTTAAACCATTAATAGTTGATCAGCTTCCTGTTAAAGGTATATGTTTTAAATCGAGCTCTAGAAATTTAGTTATTATATATGTGATACTTATCACTGAAATGCCTGATAAAATGAAATGCAGAGAGATCTTCCATTTGTCTGGCAAAGCTGTAGAGAAAAAGGAGAAATGACGGGACAGAGGGAGGGAAGAAAGAGAAGAGGAAACTCAAATAGCAGGCTACTGTGCCTTGTGACTCTGCCAAGGCTCACCCCTCTCTTGAGGGACAATCACAAAGTTGATCTGTGGACTTCGGGCTTTTTAATCACCACAATTTTATCTTAACCCACAAATCCAAACTGTATCCTAATCTCTCCGTGTTTTGGGCCAAGGCTTTGCTAGTTCCTTCCACAGAAGCTTCAATGTTTTATCTTCTTTTTTTTCTACATTCAGACTTGCTATAAATTCTCTGCCACATATGTCTTTGATGAAGAATTGCTGGACATGGGCCATTTTATTCAGATTGTTTGTTGCATCATGACACATAATCCATAATGGGAAACATTCTAAATCCCATGTGACATAAAGTTCTACCTGGTCCTAGAATCCTTGTTTAAATTGTAGGTGGTTAGACAAAAATTAAATTAGAAAGTCACTCAGTGTTTATAATATGTAAGAGAAGTAGAACTGGTTTCTCTAGCTCTCTGCGTAGAATTGCTGTTCAATTCAAATGATTAAGTTTCCACCCCTAAATGTTAGCATCTTGAGCCAGGTGGGTTAGTGGTCCTCTTCAGTGCTCCTACTGAGATCATGTTCGTAGGTCTTTATTACTATCCTTGCCTGCTTATGTGTTTTTGTCTCCACCCCAGTCTTAAACTATAAACTCTATGGGGCCGGGGATTTAGCTCAGTGGTTCCACCACCTGCCTCTCAGGCACAAGGTCCTGAGTTCGATCCCTGGTACCAAAAATAAAAAATAAAAATGATAAACTCTGCGAAGAGGAATAACTTCACCTGGAACATTGTAGGTGCTGGAGTAAATAGATATTTTGAGTGAAAATATGTATAACAAAAGGAAAATGAGATTACCAATTAATTTTCAATCCTGGTAGAACCTTTAAAATTTCCCACTTAAAATGGCTTTGTCTCCAACATTAGTTTAGCAAAATAATACAGATTCTAGTAATAAGTGACATTCAAATGCAGGTGGTAGTTTGCAAGACAACTTTTGTTTTGAAAACTGGGTCAACACCTAAGTTGTAAAAGTAGGAAGAATTAGCATCTCATAGTTTACTCCTGTGGACCTCCTCTGTGCTCTCCCCTCGCCACCTGGTCCTCTTAGCTCCCCGGTCACTTTTAACTGAACTCCGTCCACTCCAAGTAAGTACACCCAGGCTCTGTGATGTACAGTCAGGCACTGTTAATAAGAATGTGTGGTTTGAGAGGAGAGGGGCATGTAAATAAAGGATTAGAATATAGTATAATAAAGGTTGTCATTGAAGTGTGTACAGTGTGTGAAATGTAAATCTAAGGGGTGAGGCTGCTATGGAAAATTTCTCTGAGAAAGCAGCATTTGAGCCTACTCTTAAAGGATAAGAGATTCCAATATGTTCTTTGCTTTGTTCTTTGAGATAAAATCTTACTATGCAGTCCAGGCTGGCCTTGAATTCACTAAATAGCCCAAGTTATTCTTGAACTCAAGATCTTTCTGCCTCAACCTCCAGATGCTCCAATTAATTGGCATGTGCCACCATGTCCAGCGAGGTTCAGATCTGAGAGAAGGGGATAAGCAATACAGAGAAGGGAAACTGTATTTAGGAACCAAAAAAAAAGCACAAAAATCCCCAAAAGCATATAGATAGAGAATTGGCAGGTGTGTGTAAAGGGGAGTATTACAAGAGGAGGCCAGAGGGGGAAGGCAGGCCTGAGTAGACATCTACAAAGGGGTTTGGAACTTCATTTGTAGGCCAGAGGGGAAGCCATTGAAACATCTTAGAAGTGTGATCTGTTCTCACTGTTCATTATTTATATCTTCTTTTCAGAGATTTTTTTACCTTAGTTTTCCCTATCATCACTCCTAGTTTTTCTTCTAATGGTTTGTGCCTACTCCCTGGCCAAGCTAATTAATTTGGTTAGAGTAAAATGGTCTGTGATTGTGATCTGAAACATCCAAAACTCCAGGAAGTCTGAACTCCACATACACACACCCAAATCTGTACCATGTTAGACATTGTGGCCTTCATCCTGCTTTGTTAAGATGACAAATAAACAGGCTACGATTGTCTCACCCCCTTCCTACTGTTACAAGGAAGAGAGTGACATCTTCATATATAAAAGTTATCTCAAATATTATACTAGAATGCCAAAATGAGAGTGGGCTACGTATAAAAGCAATTCAGTTTATTCACTTAGACTTCCTTAAACCAGGTATAATATGACACGCCTATAATCCTAGCACTCACAAATTCAAGGCAAGCCTGGGCTGTTAGTGAAACACTGTATCAAAAAACAAAAAGAGAGAGAGAGACTTTCTTAATATTTTGTTTTTAGCCCTTCTTGGTCTTTTCATTTTCTCCATCTAGATTATAAATAGGCACATGAGGTAGAGTCAGAGAGTGTCTTTTCTTTCAGGGTGCCAAAATGCTCATGGCAATTGCTCTTTTCATTTTTGACCCATTGCAGTGCATCCACAAATGTATGATTGTTTGTGCAACAGGATCTTAGCCAGCTTCACAATAAACTAGTCTTTGGAATTTTACAAAGATGTCATTCTTGGCACCTAAAACAGAATCATTTGTGCCTACCCCATCATTTTCCAGTTATGAATTCAGTTTAATTAGTAGCTTATGACCAGTGTCTCATTTTTAAATGTAATCTAAAGTAGCAGACAGCAGATGTGCATATTACCTGGATGTCTCAGTCTTTATGCTCATTCACAGGGGTCCTTCAGTGAAGCCTGCTGTAGAAGGTGTGGGAGGGAGGCAGGACGCCAGGGGAACCCAGGGCTCACTTGGTTCATTGCTGCCACCTGCTGGGCCTGGCTGCTGGACTGGGAAGGCCCAAGGGAGATAGCTAAGCCATCTCACAGCCTTCTAAACAACCTTTTTATAGTCCTGGTGCTAATCAGCTGTAATATTTCTACTTTTTAATTTTTTTAGTGATACTGTGGTTCAAATCCAAGGCCTTGCATATGCTGGTCAAACACTCTGCCAGTGAGCTATGTCCCCAGCCTTAAGCTACCATATTTCTACATGACTAAAAGGACTTTGGGATTGTAGAACATTATCCCAATCAGTGTGAGATGCCATTAGATCGTGTTGATAATACATAATGCCCCACAGTGGTGAGACTCAGAGACATACTGGGGACTCAGAGATCCTACAGTAGCAGAACTGGAAGTATCCTTAAAGCAGGTATAGTGAAACTTTAGTTAAATGAGTCACATAAGGACTTGTTAAAATGCAGGTTCTTAGGCCCAATGTGAGGCTTACTATAGCTTCATAACAGGCTTTAATGCAGGTAGTCTTGCATCATTGATGAGAAGCATTGCCTTAAATGTTATCCAGGCAAGAGTGTCTCAAGCATTTTTCTAATTAGTGCATTTTATTTTTTTTGTTAGTTTTTTAATGCATTTAATGTTTTTTAATGCATTTTAATTAATAAAAACAATTACATCTTCCATGAATGGAAAGAGTCATCTTAGTACTGTTAACTGGTTCTTTGAATCATACACTCAAAATTGTTTCATTGATTTGTTCTGCAAAGAAAAAAATGTCGCTTTTAAGGAATTAACTTTTTCTCCAAGAAAGAAGTAGTACTATACTATAATTTGTATTGGTCAGTTTATAGTGGATGCTTTAGTCCTTGCGCACTGGCAAGCAGAGGTAGGGTTTAGTATTGTATGTAACATAGCCATCACTTCCATGACTCTAATAATGATTTTGCATTTATTGAATTTTCAGGGATCAAAAATACCATAATAGGGAATCTTCCCTCTGGGGAGACAAGCAGAAAAAAGCTGCAGCCTGCTGGGTTTTAGCATGTCATCACTTCTTATTCCTCACCCTGTCTATGACAAGCTTAACCAATGTCCAAATAATAGTAAACACAAATAATAACTTTCCTTATTACATAAGAAAAATGAGTGGTGTGATTCACAACTTTGAGACACCTTAAACCTGAGAATTCTGGATACCTGTCATGTGCTTACTTCATTGAATACTATCTTCCCACCCCAAAAATATTTGTCTTTTTTGATATATGCTGCTACACCTGAAATTACTGGCTCCAGTCTAATTGTAAGCTGAGTCCTTGAAGCTACAGAACTCAAGGGCAAATTACACTTGGTATGCTACATCGTGTTAATAAACATCAAGCACCAGTCATTTGTGTTTTCCTTTAGCCTTTTTTTTAAGCGTTCCAATTGTTGGCATTGAGGACTTCCATCCCCTTTGATGCAGATGATCATTTATTTAATGAGGTTATGTATTGCTGTGTAGAATCAAGGCAGTTTATTAAACCTCTTAGAAGGGAAATCTTATTGAGCTTTTAGGGTCATAGTTTTTATTACTAAATATACTTGGGTGTATTTTGTTTTCTGCCTTCCTAATCTCATCTGTTGAGATTTTTTTGTTTTTAGGGATACTTGAAGGAAATCTTGAAAGAAATTGGTATTCAGAATGTAAAAGGCATCCACAAAAACACATGGGAGCTGAAGCCAGAATACAGGCATTATCAAGGAGAAGAAAAGAATGATTAGGAGGACCTTCAGACACATGCAGATGGAACAGCTTAAAGGCAGCTCTGCTGGAACAGCATTCATACCCGGATGCTTGACCACCCCGTGTTAACAGGAGTAAAATGACTGGTACTTTCATTTTTCTCAGTGAAATTTTTTTAACCTAAAATTCTATTAAGTATCTTAAGTGGTTTTTTGAAAAGGATAAATTTATTTATAGACTTAACTTGTACTCAACCATATTATTCACAGTGGGAATAGGGGCTGGGGGATTAAAAGGGCTTCTCTTTTTTTAAGTGTTAACTTTTGAAATGTAACATTAAGAAATGTTTCCTAAACATTTCTCTGTCCTTACTGTATCTCTGAGGAGCTGAGGAATTCAGATCCATAGTGAATGGTATAGCAGGGGGGAAAGGTCAATTACAGAAACTATTAAAAAGAATTTAAAAACCGAAGTTTCTTTTTCTGAAATTATTGAAGAATGAAGCTGTCTTCTTTTTTAACAGATGATCATGTTTCACATTCAAACGTGTTAATAAAGAACATTTTAGTTTATAGTAAAGTGGCAGTTTTCATCATTAGCATATTTTACCCTAGGGATAATTGATGAGAAATGAAAAAAATCATGGTCAATTAATGTTTTTGTTTGCTTTTAAAATAATAGAAAATTAAATATCTGCCCAGAATTTCAAGAAATATCTCCCCAAACCAGATCATAAGCTTCTCAAAGACCAGCTTTGCCCCCAGAGTTGTACTGCCCACTCAGCAGTCCTATGTTGATCCTTGTACAGCAAGTGACATTGTAGCTAAGGAGGACTGCGGGGGTGCAGTGGAGACACAAAGCATTCATGTCAGTTCTTAGGGCATGAAAATATATTTTATCTTTCTCTTTAGTTAATTTTTAAATAAAAGCATTACATGTACATGATGAAAGTTTTTCTGGCACCAAATGTTATTATATATTAGGCTGTTCAAAAATCATACCACGAACAAGACCACCATAACAAAAGAAGCTAAGCACAGTGAAAAGGTGTTCAAAACACTTGTTTTGTCATCTGCTTCTGAATGCTTGCAGCCAAAAAATAACAAATGCCACAAATTTAAGAAGGTGTTATATAATTAAAGCAAAGAAATATCTATTTACTAAGAAAAATAATCCCTTGTATTTTTAGTTTTAGCAGCAGACCACTAGAATTCTGAGGTTAAGTACCACTATACTAAAAAAAAAAATTATCTTTGCATTATCAATACAATTCTGATTAAGGAGAATGGTCTCATTCAGCACCCCGCCTCAGTTGCCTTATTCTGTCTTGTTCTGGTGCAGGAACCAGCTGTGGAGGCCCCGTGTCTGGGAGCCTGCAGATAATGGTATGATGGCTGTATACAGAAGTGAGAATTCTAGATCCCTCCCTGTGCTTGGTACATTATCGTATGTGTCTTCCCTCAAAACTTGTCGTTTTTGCTATGTGGTCCTGCACTGAAACAAAGAAATATGCTTCTTCTGCCCATATTTTGCTTTTGTGCTGACAGTGACTGCCAGGTCGAACTTGGTAGCAGCTCTGCCAGTAGTTTCCAAGGCAGAGCTGTACCTTCTTTCAAGCTGTGCTTGATATTTTTGTAAACCAGGTCTCTTCGGCCTCTTTTTACTTCATCACACCTGATGGCATCTGTTTGAGTCACTTAATCATTTATCTCTTCAAGTAGAATAGTTCATCTCACACATATCCAACCCACAGCCTGCATGCGGATTGGACACACCTGCATTACAATAAAAACTAGAGGAAGTTTTGTTACTTCTATCCAGTAACTATATTTATATGTTTTATTTGCAGCCCAGGACAATTCCTCCTCTTCACTCCATGTGGCTTAGGCAGCTTTGCCTGCAGGTCAGACATGCCTTAATGGCAGACCAGTGCCACTCTGGATTGCTTGAAATTACAATTCTGATTTCTTACTAACATGGCTGTCACTCATGATGACCTCCTGACACTTGGGTTCCCTTCCCTTATTCTTTAATTTCAAGACTCTCTTGCTGTGATCAACATTCTTTGGCAGCCATGGATCAAGAACTATGAATACTAAACCCATAAAAAGCGCTGAAATTGAGAGAGAGGAAGGCTGGTAAGGGAGATAACGTCTCTAGCAAGATGTCACATCAGAAGAGGACAGAAAGGTCATATTTAATAGATGAGATTATTAAATTCAAGTTGTACACACATTTAGGGGATATCTTAACTGACAAAATGTAGTAACATTATGGTCACTGGGCATTGGAAAGATTTGAAATTACATGTTGCCACAGTAACTTCTAGAGTGATATGTCTTTTTTTAAAGGACAGATACTGTTGCATTGTCTTACGAGCAGCTCTTAAGCATTTCGGTGGACTGGGAGTTATTCTAAAGTTTTGTGAACAGATTTCTTTGGAAATTTATTTTCATTGTTGAAATAATTGTAAACACTTCTAAAGCCCTTTGTGCCTATATGTTAAATGAGGGGAGGATACTGTCTTGTTTAATCCTCAGAAATAATACCGAGAGGTGAGGAATGGCCATTTTATGGAACCATCTGTTGCCCAGCATATTGTGAATATTCATCTCTCTTGAAGGGAATTCTACCCATGGGGCAAAATCAGAGTGTGCTTTCCCAGCATTTGTTCCCCACCACTCATCCCACCTCCAAACCAAGAAAATGGGGCTAACCCCGGGCAGACTCTCAGAATGAGGGACGTTGTCTTTGGCATCCATACTTGAATCTGAACATCCAAACCCTATTCCCATACGATGAAGAGTAAACTTAAACCTTTAAGTTCAAGGTCCTTTTGCTAAAGTTCTAATCCCTGGTCTATGTCAGGTGCCTCAGTGGATGCTGTGACTTGAGAGCAGCCCCACAAGGGCTCAGCCTCTGTTTGAGTGAAGGTGCCCTGTGCAGAAGGGGAACGGGCCTGGCCGGGCCTGGCCTGGTGCAGAGCGGCCTCTGCTCCCAGGTGCCAGCTCCTCAGGATGCTGGCTGTTTGCCCTCAGTTCCTGCAAGGTCCAGGAAAGGAGAAACCAGCTCTTTTTCCACACCTTCTGACTTGAGTCCAGAGCAGGTTCCCAAGCATAAGACATGCTCTCATAGACTTAAGACTCAAGAGGCTGAGGCAGAAAGATCACACAGCAGAGATCACTCTTAGCCTCACTTTCCTAACATTCTCCTATTTTTCTTTCTACCCCTTTGAGCAGGTACTACCAGTGGTGTAAGCCTTTAAATAGTTTGATTTTTTTAAATGGAGACCTTTATCTGATTAAAAGGACTATTCAGATGCTTTAGCTTCCAGTTTAAACTGGATTCTGTAATTTAGTCTTTGGTGGCTGTACTGGGACTCATACCCAGGGCCTTGCACTTGCCAGATAGGTGCTGTGCTACTGAGCTACATCCCTGGCACATACCTATAACCCTCGCACTCTGGGAAGCTGAGACAGGAGGATCACAAGTTCAAGCCCAACCTGGGCAATTTAGCAAACCAAGATCCTGTCTCAAATATTGGGCTTGGGATACAACTCGGTGTGAAAGCCCTGGTTCAGTCCCCAGTACCACAAAAAAATAATAATTATTACTGATACTGAAGTACACCATATTTTAAAATGTTGAAATTTGTATTTAAACTATCTTAAGGAGATAGGTTTTTATTGTGTTGTGGATGTATAAATTCACCAAAAGAGTATTTCACCAAACCAAAAACTGTAGTCCTGGAATGGTCATGAAACACAGTAGCCTTCTACTAATTTGGTGCATTTTGGTAAGCATGACTCTGTCCTTGGCTGGGGATGTAGCTCAGTGGGGCCACACCTGCCTGTCAAGTGTGAGGTCCTGAGTTGATCCTCGGTACCACAAAAAAAACCATGACTCTGTCCCAGGAAGTGGGGATACAAGCGTGCTGGGCGTGAAACGCTGCACAGCCCAGCGGGAATGCAGAGTGAGTGAGGCACGTGCTACTGCTGCTGTCAATCGGAATACTCCATTAATTCATTGTTGCCACTTAGGAATTTCAAATTTTCGAAGCATTTGAGTGTAGTAATTACATAATTTTTATATATACTTAATATATGTTTTATATATACTTAGTGCACTTAATTTGAAAGTTTTGTTGAAATAATTTAAACATTGACAATTTCTAAGACAAAAGGATCTGTACACTGCCTCGGGCTGGTTTTTATGAACCCAGTATATGTCTGTAATCCCACAGTCTCACCCATCAATTGCTGGAGTCAGGAGTTTACCAAGCTGGACCTCTTGACATTTAAGCCTTACTTCTGATGACCGCCCAGCCTCTCTCCTCCGGCAGCAGCTCATTAGTCCCTGCCATTGAGTGCTGTTACCACTCCTGTGTGCTGAGCGCCAAGGGTGAAGGTGACGGGTATTAGTGGTGATGTGCCTCACTGTCTGCCGCTGTCAGCTGTCAGGATTCTTTTCCTTAGCAAAAAGGAATTACTTGTGGGTGTCGCCCCAGTTCTTTCACCTGTACAGATTTGGTTTCCTGTTCTTATTTAGTTGGTTTTCTTGGTTGGGTATGACTCCCCTTTTTTGCTCAGTAGACTCAGAAGAGAAGATATTTGTCAGGAGTGATTACCAGTGGCCAGTGTATTTGATTTACTTACATCCCAGATCACTGGGGATTCTTCAGTGTCGGGCTCATGGGAAAATTGCTGGTTTGGCTGGTCACAGGTGGGGATCTCTTCCATGATCTGGAGACCACAAAGGAAGTCTGTCAGCTCACGATCTCCAAGTGGTATGGATACAGAGATGAACAAATAGAACAAGTCCCGCCTTCAAGACTAGTTTAATGGGTCAGAGACCAAGAAATAGAAAAAGTTGTACAAGGTCATTAGAACAGCCTCACCTCATAATATGGGCAGAGTGAGACTCCACACACACTTTAAGTGTGTGTGTAGACACGTCAGGGTCATAAGGATTGTGGCTAGACAGGACAAGGCCAGTTTCAGTCGATGAAAGAACTTGAGGGTCAGCTGATTGGTTCCACCATGGACCCAAGTGGATTGGATGAGGAGCCAGCAGAGCTGACCTTCGAGGCATACAAATTCAGACTCATAGAAACAGCTGCATCACTCCCTTATTTGCAGCAGGCCTTTTTTCTGAACGTGTTTCTTTAGTATGATTCATTTACAGTAGTCAAAACCTACCTTAGAGAATTATGTGTTAGAGGTTTGAGGTCCCAGTCACTTGCTCCTCCACCACGGAGCGGAAGGGAGCTTAGTTTTTTATTGCTGAGACAAAATACCTAACACCCAGCGTTAAAGGAAGAAAAGTTTATTTAACTCACAGTTTATAGATGTTTCAGTCTATAATTGGCTGGCTCCCAGGTAGGGTGGCATGGCAGAGGGGCATCACAGAGCAGGCAGAAGACATGCAGCAGCAGTAAGTGACCAGCAACCACAAATGCAGCCCCTCATATTT